CCCATTGACCCAGAAGCATCTTCCAGCCTCTTATTACCCATTAGCCTTTTGTCAGTTCCTTGACCACACCATGTTCCCTTCTGGTATAATCCTAGAATTTGCCTGCTCTTTTTCCTTAGATTGTTCTTTCTTCAAAACTAAATCTTTCTGGATTTCCCATATTGTACAAATTCCTTTAATGTACATTCTTAAAATTGTATGCACCTCCCCTGTGTAGCATTTATCAGAATTAAAATTTCACTATCTTGGTGTGTGATAGTGATTTTTTAGATATTCAAATATTAATATTCAGATATTCAAAATTTTCAGATAATTTCTATGCAAAATTAGACAAACACTTAAGGTTTTTAAGAATATAATAGTGTCATTAAAAAAAACACCATCTGTTCTAGTTTTCATTCATTTATTTCCTCTGCAAGTAAGATTCCTGTATCTAATAAGTACTTAAAGTCCTTTGATTTCAGTGTGGAGGAAATTGGAGGAAAGGAAAATCACACACACTATCATTTACAGTAATGGCTCAAGGGAAATTGAGAATAAGAGACTTTGACTACACATTGTCTAAACCAAAAGAAAGAAATATTCAAAAGAACTCTCTTTTTTTTCCACTTCATATTTCTGAGAAAGGTGTCAAATCAGGGGACTTTTACCAACTATTCCCTTCTAAGAAGTCTTTTTGTTTTATAGCAATAAATAAAAATTCTTTGCCACTACAGATTATCTATTGCTCAATTACATCAGGGCACCTGTACTAATTTTAGATGAAAAACTGACATTTGGGAACTGAAATTGGAAAAGTTCCTGAACCAGAAGTCAGGAGACTAAGATTCAAATAGTGACAGGACTGTCACTAAACTTGCTTGTCCCTGGATAAGGTATTATCACCATTTCTGAAATGAGAAGATGTTGGATATTATAATGGCTAGGAGCTCTTCCAATTAGCATTTATGTGCCATGAAATTGGACATCCTAGGATTATTATATATGTATTGCTATATTGCTCATGATGCATGTGTCTTAGAAGATTATTGAAATACAACCAATGGCCAATTCTAACCCTACAGAGAGGATCTTGTCTATAGAATGGTCCCTGATTCTGAAGCTAGACAGGCATGTACTTACTCTGGGTCTTCATGCAGCTTTATTTTGGGAACTATTCTTGTATTGTGGATTTCTACTGAAGAACTTAATTGAAGTTCTCCAAATTACAAATTCACCTTTCTCATAATGTGTACTGTAAAGATGATTGTATTAACAGTCAAAAGATGTGGGTCCCCACATCTGTCTCTTATATTCAGCAAGATTTTTGACTTTGGGAAAATTATTGAAGCTCTCTGGGTTCCAAAGTCTCATCTTTGAAGTAAGGATAATACTTCTGTCTTCAAAGGGAAGAACATGAAGATTAAATAAGAGATTACATTGGAAAGCACTTCCAATTCACCTGAACTACAAGGAGATTTGCGAAGAGTTGTCTGGTGAATTTTAAGCTCTAAAGAAATATGGTGGAGTTTAGATCTTGCTTAACATTTCAAACTCATTGGAAAGCCAATAGAGAATGTGGTTTTTATGGGACATGAATGTTATTATGTATGTTATTATTTATGAATATTGATTATTCTGCTGATAACCATGAAAACATGAGACTAAGGATGTTTATTTTTATGGGACTATGCTTCAGGGGAGTGTCTTCTGACCTGTACCCAATTTTTAGCAATAGAAGCCATGTCAGAGACTGTACTTTCAAAATAATAGTAGTGTGTTATTATTTTTAATAATATAATATTTTATTATTATTAAAATCAAGAAATTGTTATAAATCTAACTACCCCTGATGACACACAGAAATTTCTTTGGAATTTTAATATCCAGGTGATTATCCCCAGATTAACAAACATATATATACTTATCAATGTAACTCAAATGAAAAGAAATGAAAGACTGTATGATCATGATAAGAATTAGTAACGACTGAGCTTTAGGCTCCCCAGCTGGGAATGAAAAGTTGAGATGAGACTTGACCCCTGAGCACTGATTGCTGACAGAATCCATCCTTTGGTTTTTACATGTGAAATTCAAGATCCTCTCATACAAATTATGTAGTCTCTTACTTAGTCTTAGTGTTAATTTTATGGTTATATGTGTTTATATTTTTTTCTTGTTTTTAAACAAGCAACAAAATGTCTAACTAGAAATTTATGTTTGTTTTTTAACACATATTTAGGTTGGAGTAAATTTGTCCACATTAAATACTTTAAAGTTGAGAATCTTCCTACTCATTTTTTCTCAGTCAGAAATCAAATTTGATTATTTTGATACTATTCCAACATTTTATGTTCCTCTCTACAATAAAAATTCAAAAGACGTACATTTTCCTGTTGTATAGGCTGAACAATTTTTCAGTTATTTTAATATCTACAAGTTATGTTACCTTTTGCAATTCAAAAAATGTAAGCTATCTTCACAGAAGACTTTTGAACATCTCTGCATAGTTTTTGAAAAAAATGTGTATTCCCAAAAATCAAAGGAGGAAAGGCAATACGGCAACCTACTGAAGCATATGCTAATATACCTTGTAAATATACAATCTGTCTTAGAGTCATCTGGACATAACCTATTCTATTTATCAATATTTACTCACATCAAAAGGAAACATTTCACCCTATTTGTAATTTAAGATGTTATTTAAAACTCTAAAAGGGATAATTTATCTTCAAATGGAATTTATGAGTTACACTGCTTGATAAATTTCTTCTTGCAGAAATTGTACTTGTCAGATTAACAAAAGCCTAGACTAATTCACTTAGATTACTTACCACAATAATCTATTAACCATGTACTAACTGCCTCACTATGACTATTTCTCTGTCATCCAAGATTTTTTACATTCTTAGATCAATCAAGGGATCCATTTTTGGCACTGTGCTTTGCAGCTACTAGAATAATTTTCATTCATGTTGTTTTTATTTTAAGACCATGGGGATATTTAATCTTGGCAGTGTTCTCAAATAAAATTAATTTTTTACTCATGCCTTGCTCAATTTCAGTAGTAAAACTTTTTTACTCTTGCCTCTTTCTTGAAGACTTGAGACATGTATGTCTAAAGCACGATTCTTTTATTTTATTCTAAGTCCTTCATCCTTCATGAAAACAATATTTGAAAGATCCAAACTGGCACAATTCCAAACAGATGGGGGAACAACTGTGACTAACAGGTTTTCCTTTGACAGGTCTTTGTTATCTAATCTTAATGAGGGAGCAAAGTTTAGAAGTTGATAGTTAAGCACTAAAGAAAAAAGCATTAGAGAGTTAATGTTTACAAGTTAACAGTTAAAAGGAGGCCTCAGATTTTATCCTTGGCAGGAAGTATTCATCTGGCAAAGAATTTAGGAAGCATATTCCCCATCCTCCGCCCCACCCCACTACCTGGATGAAGAGGCCTAACCCCAGTGGAGGGGGATGCTGAGGACCAAGGGCCTTTGTCCGTCAGGTATATGGAATTGGTGCCTGCTGCTTCTGTGTTGTTTCACAGGTCCCTTTGGCACCGATGGGTTTCAAGTTCCTTAACAGAAGGAATTGAGTTAATACTCAATTTCCCATATTTAGAAATTATTATTTCTTCCTCATTCATGCCTCACTTATCTCATTAAAACTGGGAAATGGTACAATGGCTGCAAATTTCAGTGGGGAAGTTGTACTGGAAATGAATGATACACTAATCAAAGTGTGGACTTAGCAGAGGGAGAGAGGAGAAACAGACTGATAGGGAGGGGGGACAGAGGGAAAAGGAGAGAGAGAGAGAATGAAAAGGAAAAGAGAAACTGGGAGGATATGTTTCCCCTTATTTTCTGAAGTTTAAGAATATATTGCAATTCTGATTTTTTTTTTAATGGCCTCAAAAATGTGAGGGGAGCATATCTGAAAAACAGTCTGCTAACACGGATCCATTCTACAACATACTTGTTTGTCACCCATAATGTTCGGGTCCTGTGCAGGGGGAACAGGGCTGCAGATGCCCTGCCATTTAAAAGAGGGCTTTTGAGTTTCTACAACAGGGCACTGCCTGAGATTCCGGAGAAGAATGTAGTCCCTTCCCATTTCACAGCAGGAAATGGTATGGCTAAGGCAGAAGCTCAGCACTGCTGCAATCATGGGACATCCGCACTGGGCTCGCAGGCACCTAGTCTACTTTGCCTGCTGCTGACTTTTAACATGAGCCTTCCTTGGACGTCAGTTGGATTGCATACATGTAAGTTATACTTAGGGAAGTTCATTTTCTAATCTCCTTTGGAAAATCTGCATCGTTTAAATAAAACAGCTCAGTGCCTTTATATTTAGAAATACATTCTTTTAGAACTTTTTATGTTCCCCATCAACAAGCTCATACAGAACCCTGAAGAACACAGTGAAAAAGGCCTGCTAGGGGATACCATGGCCTGTGTTGTTACCCTGACTGGTACTGGATCAAGATTATCAAACCTGCTGATAGCCAGAGATGAATGCTTCAATATAGTTATCACTTACAGAATTCTTAGAAATAATAAAGTAAATAGCATAATATTCATACAGTGAAATGTGTCATTTTAAAAGCTTACTTTATCTGACATGGACAAGGGGCTAGCTGGTAAAAGCCATAGAAAAAAATTTTTTTAATTAAGATATCTTTGATATACAATGTTACGAAGGTTTCACATGAGCAACATTGTGGTTACTACATTCCCCCCTATTATCAAGTCCCCACCACATACCCCATTACAGTCACTGTCCATCAGAGCTATATAAATCTTAAAGGAGAACATCATACATTATTACATTTTATGAGTCCTGCCTCACTTCCCACCTGGAATACATGAAACCATATTTTCATTGCCAATATTATCAAACTCCAATCACACATGCCATTTTGATAGGAAAACTTTAGGCATTTTAAAAAGTAATTAAGTTATAGCCAACTCTGCTAAATAAGCGAAATGAAAGTAAAGTCCCAGGCATTAGTTACTCACCATGTTTTATACTGAAAGTCCCTCTCAGAGCTAGGTAAGCGCGCTACAAGCTCTATTAGAGGCGTGCAGAGGTTGTCTTTAGGGCTCTTTGAATCAAACAGTAACTAAGTGGTTTAAGTAGAAACATGTATTTTGAAAGGTTAATCCACCCATACACAGGGAAACCCCTTTTTTAAGAAAGTCACTCGGCTGCCAAGAGGCTATTAATATTCACCTCTCGGATACAATACAACCTACAGATAAAAGATTTGCAACCTTATGTGAAAATACCACAGAGGATTCCCTCTGAGTCTCTATGCTGTAATGGAAACACAAGAAAACAATATACCTCTTCAGGCAACTGGGGGTACTACAGGAAATCCACCTGCCCACTTAATGGAAAAGTTCTATCAGCTTTATAGAGCCACAACACATAAACATAAATGTAGAATAAGTATAATTTACTGTAAGGACCACGTAGGTCACACACTCATTTCTAGGAATGTTCCTCTGTTTCATCTTCCTGTTTCTTTCTCTGAGAGAGCTCACACCCCAGGTTAACATTTCAACACTCATCCTTTGAAGTAATTTAGAAATAAGTCCACTGCCTTTTAAAAAAAGGAGTTGCTGAGTGTATTCCTACGTAGAGGGGAAATTTTATTTATAGTCTCTATTGCTTCACTGGCATTATAGGGTAACAATTATGCATATTTTTTCTCATACTAGAAAATAGTCTATGTAATTATTAGAAGTGGCAAACCTCTCCAAAGTAATAAAGAAATTCCCAGTCAGGAATGAAATCACTGCTGATGAAGTACCTAAGCATAATCATGAATGGTTAGTTATACCTTTTGTTTATACTTAAGGATTTCTTTTTCAGTAGGCATGCTAAGATTCAGGCAACAGCAAATAGCTTGTTGATATACACTGGAGAAGACAGATTACGTCAGCTTGGCTGTTGCTTCACTTCAGCTCTCATCACCACAGGTACTGTACTTCAAAGAAATAGATTGACACTGGAAGTCAACAATGATCCCATCCCACTTCTATAATCCCACTTCCACAACACACCTTGGAAAGTCAGTGAATCACAAAAGCAACTTCAACATTATCTTTCCTATGATGAAGTGTTATACATATCAATCCTGGGTAATGAAGTCATGAATCTTGGCTGTATTTTTCTTCATGCCTTTCTGTATTTTCAAATTTTTTTCAGAAGGAAAAAGCCATCCATAATACAATGTAGCTTGCACATGCAGTCAACCTTAGCAAAAAATCTAAATAGAAATTAGACACTAAACAATCTGTTATTAATCTGAGTTACTAGGGTAAATATATACATATATGATATGAAAATACCATTGTTTCAACACCTTCTCAACTGTTTTGAACATGGCTTTTAAAAAATCTTTTGAATTGATACAAAATGGCATTTACCAGTTAGTTTCTTTTCATGTGAGAAAAATAATTACTTAATGTTTCACAAGAACATGCCGTTTTAGTGTGATACCAAAAGAGCAAGGAGAAACTTAGCAGCCAGTAGCAATAAGGCGGAAACAGCTAAAAGACTGAAATCTTTACATCTAATGTATGACTTCTTTTTCAGAAATTTCTTTTAAAGTTATAGAGTTATAGAAATATATGATGTATTGCTATTATTAAAACTTTTCAGTGTTCCTGACGTGTACCTAAGGAACAATCTTGTGTCAAGTCATGTACCTCTTTATTTGACAAGTACCTAAATTAAAAGGTGTGAAGAAAGAATAGAAGTTTGTTCTAGAGTCTATTGAAAGTTAAGCAGGAGGTTATTGCCATTAAAAACTATAAAATGGACAGTGGGAATGGGGATGCTAATCAATGGAAAATGGAAGAAGACATCATTTTCATTTACTTCCGGACAATGTTGGAGAAGAGAGTCTGTAATCATCAGGACAGATCTCGCTATCTCAGCCTCCAACCATTCTCACTGTAAAAGGGAAGCTGGACCCTCTGTTGAACGCCACTGTGAAATAAAGCACTGGGCCATAAGACACTGAATGGCTTCCAGTATCCAGTTAAACCACTCAACATCAACTGCAAGCAAAAGCTGGCTATCTGCCAAGAAAATGATTTTTTCTGTTCACAGAAGAGCATTTTATTTAGCTTTAGGGAAAAATAAGGAAATGAGTTGAAAAAAAATTTAATAAAATTTGAAGACTAGTGCCTAAAGTGATTGATCCAAAATTAATTTCACATGGCTTGAGGGTACAAGTGACTGAGGGAAAAAGGAAGAGAAAGAAGAAAATGAGACCAGCAAAGACAGACAGGCCATTGAGAGTTGAATTTCGGAAAAAGAAGGTCATATTCAGTGCTACTTCCTTTATCTGGAAGTAATATGAAGGTTATTAAAGAGACTAAGGTAAGGAGGTTTCTAAGCTTTAGGCTTGGAAAAGGGCAAATGCAACCTGTCTCTAAAGATGAGCTAAATATGTCACTCAATGATTAGGCTCTCACGGGCCTCTGCCACACCTCATGTGCAGGCCAGCCATGGGTGTCCCTGGGCAGACAGGCAGTGGGCTTCTACAGGCTTGCTTCCTGGCCTGATTCCAGACCTGTTCCTCCTCCTCTGTGCCACAGACCCAGGCTCCACCAGCTTTTAACCTCCCAACATCCCAGATTCCAAATCTTGGGTTAGAGTGGAGGTTGGATGGAAGCAAAAATGTAGGTGCCACAGTTGAGGAACTTACTTTCAAAGGCTTCAACACCATAAGGTTTTCTAAGAAATGTGGTAAAGGCCACATTTGTCGCATTAAAGTACTGAAATTAATTTCCTTGGAAATTGTTCACATTAGGTGGGTTCCTTCTGTTGAGCGAGAGCTTTCTGAAGACTTGGGGCACATGACAGCCCTCAGGAGTCCTTCAGGAGAGAGGCCATGGCTTCTTGCCAAACTTCAGTCCTCATTGTTTCATGAGAGATTCAAACCAGAGAATGTATTTCCATTATGACTTCAGAACCTCACCTACACTATCACTTGCAGGATGGAGATGGTTTTGTCAGAAGAAGCTTTGGCTGGGTAGTGTCAGACTAGAGGAGTAATCTTACAGCTGGTGCTCTACTATCTCCTAGCCCAGATAATTAGGAATGAGCCTCAGTTAATTTAGCCTTTCTACTTCATAAAAAAATTCACATTTTTTTCTCCCATATTCCAACTTCTACAACAACCAGGAGTGTAGCTGATTTTACTATTTGATGAACTTCGTATGGATGAAAATTGACAGAGAACAATTTGTCCTCATTTTTCAAAATTAAATACTCATAATTCTCTGGGAACAATTATACTCATCACATAATGGTTACACTTGAATTGTTTTGCCCATTCTTTTTTTTCCCCACTGGAACAGTCATTTGAAGGAACTGAAGACTGAGAAGCCCTGTGCATTTTTGCTGAGTCTCCCTCATCACCAAGTATATAGAGTGTGTATGGGTGCTTTTTTATTATTTTTTTACTCCAGAATGGATAAAAAAGGACTAAACAGTATATGATTTAAACCACTAAAATATCACAGTTCTGCTTTTTCCTAAGGATTGGAACCAAACTAGTCTTGAAAAATTCTGCCAAAAAGAGGATGCATCAGGCCAATGGTTGGGCATAAATCTCCTTTCTTAACAGTAAGAAAAAATGAATACAAATCACAGATGTAGCTAAATCAGAAGGCAGCTGTTTGGGACCAAAGCCCACTTACTGCTTACACCAGGCCCAAAGATGTGGTATTCTTTCAAAGGCAGCCCCAGGTGTTGACAGAGTAGAGACATCCCAGGAGAACTCTTTGACACTCAACCTCTCTTTTACCCTCATCACAAATGTAGCCCTTCCTATTTTCAACACAAATAAATATATTTTCTCAGGGAACATACCCGTTTTCCACATTAAATTTGCTTTTGATCTGCCTGTCTTACAGGAATTTCCACCCAAAGAGCATTAATTTAGAAGTCAGGCATTTTGGACCAAATTCTATGAGACTAACATTAAATAATTTACACATAACTATTTGTGTGAAAATTGAGTTTTGAGTTGGAAATCTGACTCATCCTTTTTGAAGGACACTTTTCTTGTAGCTGTTTCTTGGTTTCAATTGAAAATCTAAAACAGAAAAATAACTTTTGATCTTAGTCTGTGATTTTCACCTTCTATGACCCTTTTTTATAGCCAATTGTCTTCCTGTGATTTTTCAGATCTAAACTCCAAATCTAGAGCATGGTGGGGTTTGTGCACTTGGAAATAGACAGAAACTTCAAACCTGTAAAAAAGTTACCAAAATGATTAGCTTGATGGAGATTTTAAGAAAAAGCCATTTACTATGCTGAAGTTTGGGAGGGAGGGCCCTCACTATTTTATCCCAAAAGACTCAGAAGGTTACATAAACGTAAAACTTGACCTCTAGCACTTCAAAACTCACAAAAATAATTTTAAAGCTTTTTTAGAAGTCATTTTATACACCAAGGAGAAAAATGCTGAAATCTGTTTATAGAAGTTTAACTTAAACCAATGTATTTTTCTCTGGTGGCATTCATTCTAACAACCTCATCATAAATAGAATTCATTTAATCCCTGGAGACTTCTGTACCTTTTCTTAAAAATGAGATTGGGACAGCTGATGTTCAGAAAACCTCGTATGGGTCAAAAATTCGATAATTTGGTATCTCCTGACATAGCAACACATTTCCATTTTGATTGGTTTTATGGTTTTTAAGTTTCCTTGTAGTTTACACTGCTTGATAAATTTCTTCTTGCAGAAATTGTACTTGTCAGATTAACAAAAGCCTAGACTAATTCACTTAGATTACTTACCACAATAATCTATTAACCATGTACTAACTGCCTCACTATGACTATTTCTCTGTCATCCAAGATTTTTTACATTCTTAGATCAATCAAGGGATCCATTTTTGGCACTGTGCTTTGCAGCTACTAGAATAATTTTCATTCATGTTGTTTTTATTTTAAGACCATGGGGATATTTAATCTTGGCAGTGTTCTCAAATAAAATTAATTTTTTACTCATGCCTTGCTCAATTTCAGTAGTAAAACTTTTTTACTCTTGCCTCTTTCTTGAAGACTTGAG